CATTTATAAACTTATAGAAGTGATAATAGCAAAAACATTTTTATCACTTCACACGGATTTTTGTAATACACTATAAATCATACGAAATTGGATAAATTAGAATCAATGGTCCTCGGAATCATATTGTTCAAATCCGATAATAAAACCAACATCCCCAACCTCAAGTGTTATATAATTCGATATGCGAATAAAATTTCTATTGGATTGAATGTTTTCTAAATTTTACCGTAATCGTTCATCTCGAACGATCAATTCTCTCGAACATGATTTGTTCTTCAGTTTGTTTATATTTTTTTTTTTTATATTTTTGAAGTTCTGAATTTTCATTCGGATAGTTTATATTTTTCGGAAATTTTTCTGTTCTTTTCTTTGAGTTTATATTTGTCTTTATGCAGCATTGAATTTTCTTAATGCAAAATTTCTTCGGGTTGTTGTTGACAATCATTGGAAATATGGGGTGAGTGTTGGGAAAAAGGAGCAAATCGACAAAAAATTTTTTTTTGAAATAACAAATGATCTGAATCAGATGACCAAATCTACATCTATTTTACTTGGGAACTTTTTTTTTAAAAAAAAAATCAATTTGGTCCATTTTCCCAGCACTCACCCCATATATGAGCCTTTGTTCGAATTTATGATTACGATAAGGTTTGTAAACGCCAAGAATTTTCCTTTTTTAAACATTAACTTGTTTAGCATTTTTAGAAAGTTCGGAAATTTTTTTTCTAATTTTCAATACGCATATCAATCAATTACAATTTACAATACATTATAAATAAATATGTATGTAGGTGATAAAGCCAAAAACTTTTTTTTTATTACTTCACATGGGTTTTTGTAATATACTATCAATTTATTAATATAAAACGAGATGTTTACATATTTCTATTGTATAAAAATTCGATTTGTTAAAAAAGATCCTTTACCGGATAATTTTTTACTGACGATTCACGTGATTCGTTCTTCAGTTGTATCTGAGCTTTTCTCATTGAATACTTTTAGGAATGTTTGAGCTTAGAATTTTCTGAATTCTTATTGGAACGTTCTCTTTCATGCTCTTCACGAAGTCTCATCAAAGTTTCTTCGGATTGTTTATATTTTTCGGAAATTTCTATGAGCTTTTTTTCAAACAATGATTTTTTTTTACACGACTTGTCAAGTTCTTTACAAAGTCTTGCAAAATTTTCTTCGAATTGTTTAATTTTTTTTTGAAATTCGGAATTTTCTTTATGCAACATTAAATTCTTGTTAGAATATTCGTCAAGTTCTTTACGAAGCCTTGCAAATTCTTCTTCGGATTGTTTATTTCTTTCGAGAATTGCTGCGAGCTTTCTTTCTAAAGATGTTTTTTTTTTACGCGTCTCGTCAAGTTCGTTACCAAGTCTCGCAAAATCCTCTTCGTATTGTTTATTATTTTCTTTAAGTTCAGAATTAGCATTGGAATATTCGTTTAGTTTTTTACGAAGCTTTGCAACCTCTTCTTCGGATTGTTTATAATTTTCGGAAATTTCTTTGAACTTTTCTTGAAGTTTAGAATTTTCAAAATTCTTATTGGAACTTTCTTTTTCATATTCTTCACGAAGTCTTGACAAATTATCTTCGAATTGTTTATATTTTTGGGACATTTCTCTGAATTTTTCTTCGAGTTTAAATTTTTCTTTAAGCAGCATTGAATACGTTTTGGAACATGCTCTGTCATGTTCATCACGAAGTTT